TTCCCCGCGTCGACTTCGGTTCCACGGCTCACCAGTCGACAACATACAGTATGCAAAGTTATCCTGGAGACAGCCACTGGGCAGCTCCAGGCGACAACTCTCCGCACGGCAAGGGGTCGCTCACAGCAGCATCCTCCTCAGCCCCAGTGATCGCAAACCACTGTCCCCCGCTCTCCAACCCCCCAACAGCCACTTCAATTTACCGCCTCAGTACGCACCAATGCCCTGTTCGCCCTGTCACCCTCGCTCAGTAAGTATTTCTTCTCTGTCGGGTGAGGCCGGCCCCGCAGAACCGCAGAACCCCACGCGTATATTAGCTGCTTAATTCCGCCCAGTACTGGCTGAATCGCAACTGAGAGTTAGGCGGCCACCGCCGGCCGTCCAGAGCTCTCCTACGAAGACTACTCCAATCTACCAACTCTGCACGTGACCTCCTGACCGTCCATTTCCCTCGTCGACGTCGCCTCTCCTTCCTGCACTCTTTTTTTCATCATACTTGACGCTGTGTCGCTCCTCCTGAACGATCTTCTATCGCGACTGATCGCCCTCCACGCCTTTTCAGATGCTGGCCGGCACCTCCAGCCACAGATCCTAGCGCACGTCAGTCACTGACTGCAACGTTCTTCTTTAGCTGTCTTCAACGTCACTCTCCGTTAGGTCGATTGTCACCATGTCGGGGTCCTGTGCGACGTCAACACTGTGACGCGCACGCCACCTACTTCACTATACGCTAGACGTTCTAAAAATAAAAAAATATTCATGATACAGCAGACGTTCTAAATATTTCGGAACGGCATCGATGGTACAGTAAGTGTGACCTCCATTACCAGCATGTGCCCTTTACGTCATTATTGCACTGGAGATGACAATTTTGTTTTTTTCATTGTCCTAAGTCGTGTATTGCCACAAGTTAGTTCCCCACGCTAAATGCATTTACGCAAAAAGCGATTGTAGTACGAAAACAAGTGAACGCTTCATCCATCTGGTAGCATGAGGTGGGCCTTGGGAAGTATCTCATGGTAGATCTTCTTCAGCACATAAGTTTTTTTTTCAACCTCTGCCTTCGTTCTTAAGCCGCTGGACAGCTAATAAACTAAGACGTCATCAGCACGCGCAAAGGTTCAATATTGCCGTTTTCCACGCGTAGCCTGGGGTGTGAAAACGAACGTATCTCTACAGCAGTGGCGTATATACCATAGATTGAGTAAGCAATCCCAACGGCCGATATTAGCGCAATAATCTTTTACTCAAGACTAAATCCCATTATCGATCGTGGTTTCAATCTTTACTTGGGCGTGCTGCTGTGGAGACGTTGATTGACAAAGCTCTGGAGAACGGTTTCCCACCGGACAAGGTGGACAAGCTGCGCGTCATTGTCCACATGTACGATGTTTGGCGCCTCGTACTTCGCGATGATCCACCTGCCCGAGTGCCCCCGCTCGAAGTGCGTTTGAAGGAAGGGGCTCAACCTACGTAATGTAAGCCTCGCAAATATCCTCCGCACATTCGACAATATTTACGTGAATTTAACGAACAACTTGTTGGACTAGGACTGGTGTACGAGAACCCAGCGAGCCGAAGGTCAAGTCCCGTGTTGCCTGTCAAAAAGTCACAAGAGCTGATGGACTTGCGGCAGACTACTGATTACCGCCAAGTCAGCTCGATGACCGACGTCATGCCTGCAGTGATGCCTATTCTTTCTTTGGTAATGGAAAATGCACGTGGAAAAAAGCACTTTGGATTGTTCAATTTTCCTTAAAGGCTTCTGGCAGCTGCCTTTAGCCGAGAAGTGCCAGGAGTGGATGTCCTATATGACAGATGAAAAGATCTTCACTCCA